AACAGAAACAAAGAAAATCCATGATTCCATCTATTAACTTGTTAGTACAATAACCAATGAGTTGATGGTACCTGTCACTGAGCAATTAGTTATATTCCTACTCACCACTCTCAACGGTAGTTGATATTCTCCATTAGGCTATTCTATATGCTCCATAAATACTGTCATTAAATTATCATAAATATCTAATTAAATAGGAACTATTATTATCCCCACTTTATAGATGAGAAAACCAAGGCTTTTAAAAAAGGTAAGAAGCTCAGAAGATTGGGGGAATGAAGGGAGTGCACTTGATACAGATGCTGAAAGCTTGATCTTTGATCCTTTCACTCTCTGCTTCCAACCTTTGCCATTGGCATTGTCCTGGCAATGTGCTCCCTTCTGTAGTGCTTCACAAAGTTCCTTCAGACTCTCCATCCTGTTGCATGAACCATGGAAATGGGAAGGAAGAGAACATTATTCCCATCTGACTTCTGTTCAACAGAGAGTTTAGTGATTTGCCTAAGGTTGGGGAATGGGTTGTTAATGCTTGAGCAAGCAGTGGATCCACTCTGATGAATCTTAATATGCCATTTCCTTTTGCTTTGGGATATAATACAAGCAACCTGAATATATATCACACATAATAAATTCTTGGAACCCAGAGGGGAAAAAGTTACTTGAACTAGAGGCTGGAGGTCTGATATATAAAACCAAATCAAATAAATTATAAGAATGAAAAAAAAGTACCCCGTATATAAATTCTGGAGTAGTGGGAAACATTTGGGGAAGTTATTTAACTTCTCTGTGATTTATTTTCCTCCTCTATAACACGGAGAGAAAATAAAAATACTGGCTTCATGGGCTTACAATGAGGATTTACTGAGTTAACATGGCCAAAGTATTTATTCCTAAAAAAATAACAATCTATAATTAAGGTCAATCATAGTATCTTTCTCTTCCAAAAGCATGTGCTTTTTTATGTTTTGGAGGATCTAAGCACTCTTAATTTGGAAATTCCACAACTTGAATCTATTTTTTTTCCTAATTAGATCTGGTTTTATATATAAAAACTTCTAACCCATAGTTCAAATAATTTTACCTTTGGGTTCCCCAAATTTATTCTACATGATATATACCCAGGTTGCTTGTATATATGACACCCATATATTTGCCAAGTAGTGCTTTTCAATTTTCAGATTTTTGGTGTTGTTTGGTAGGAAGCACTGCATCTATTGTCAACAGCACAGAATTAAGAAATAACACTTTACAAAAAAGAAAATCTCACTGCAGAAGCTTAACACCTGTTTGTACAATGACTTCAGTAGGTAACTCTGAATCCCCTTTGGTAAATTTCTTATTAAAATTCTGGTTGTTCTACTTCTTATTTGTTGAAAATAACTTACACCAAAGTAAATTGGGCAGAAAACCTTGCCTGCATATTTAACTTCTTGTCCTTTAAGAAATTATACTTTGGTTTTAGAGGTTTGACTTTGCTACATAATGAAATTATCATGGTGGAACAAGCCATAGAAATAATAAATACAGTAATTATTCTTTGCCTATTGTGTGTCTTTACTATTCATAAATTTTAGGGCCTTAGATATTAGATACACTTACGTAAGGCCTCACGAACGGTAATTATCTTTTGGCTGAAGAAAAAGCCCAAACGAATGCTAAGCTGCATTATCGCTTGGCTTCTGACATGAGCTGATAATCAGATTTTCTTGCTTAAATCCATGGTGCTCGAACAATGCTACCCACTGTCTGTGCTTCCCGATATTACCCTTAATTAGAAAGAACAGAAACACAAATCTGAATTATTTCAAAATCTGGTTTCCATGGTCAGTGGTTTGAAGGGCTTAACTTTATTATAAATAAACCTGGCTTTATTGGCTAATGAAATCTGAAATGTGAAATAGAAGGAGTGTAATACTCTGATGTTTGCACATCAAAATACCCAGTGTGGGCAAAGTGTTTTGTAATAAATCTTTAGATAATTGAATTATGATTCTTTTGTCCAAGTACAATCTAAACCCCAACACTAGGGAGAACCTGGAAGGAACTTGAGTTTATGTGTTCTTGAGAAGCATCATGTTTAGATTTAATAGTGTATGTATCCATAGCTGAGGAGGAGGCATTGACCTTTTATTTAGTCTCCTTCCCATTTCAGTAATTTTTCTCCATTGACACATTGGAGCACACAGTAATAAATGTGCAATAATAAATGGACTGGCCCTGCACACATATACATAATGCAATACAATGTATTAGTTTTAAATGTTCACTTTGGGCCTTTTTGCCACGTAGAATTATGTGTGCGCTGGCATCTGAGTGAGACGGACGGTAAGATGGGAGACCAGTTGTGTTTTTATTTATGGTCTTGTGCAAAGAGGGCTAAGGGGTAAAGATGCCTGACCCCATTTTAAAGCTAATTAAAAACTAAGTGGAGAGGGTCACTTTGTTCTCCTCCAGGAAAACAACATCAGGAGGCTAATTCCTAGAACTTCTATCACATGTAAGGACGTGAGATGCTATTCACAAATACACACACACACACACACACACACACACACACACACACCACATATTATATACCTGTTTTGTATATTCTATTTGTCTATCTACATCCTGTTTTGCTGTGGATGGTGGGGCCCTACGTATCAATGTATTTTTAAACTGTGGCTCTGATCCCTTTTATTTTCTGTTTAGTTTTTTTCTAAGACCCTGTCTTTTAAAATTTGTGAATATTATCTTTTTTGAAACCTCATCAATATTTTCTTCCTGCTCATTCCCTCACCACTTCTGTGCTAGACCCATTGCAATTGCTTTCTCACTTAAACATTCAGAGCAACAGAAATTACTCGTAAATCCTGTTTTCCACATGAAGATATTGAAACTTAGAAAGAGAGAATAATTTTTGTACTATCACATAGCCAATAAATGATGGAGGCAGGATTCCAATGCATTAATTATAAATCCCTTGGTCCTGAGTACTATGTTACACTGTTGAACCAAACTGTATGTTTGCTTCTTTTAGATTATTCCCTTTGTCTTCACTCCAGTTCTGTTTCAGTGGCTTGGGTAGATGATCCTCTTTCTCCAGTCACCAGTGACCAGCCTGGATGTGTCTGGAGTTCAGGCTCCTATGACTTAAGGGACAGGTGTTTACCTTGGGTGGGAGTCTTTGGGTAAGAAGCATTGCCTTGACTAATTCTAGGGAGAGCAATTGTAGAGAAGCAGTTGGTGCCTATGGCGTTCCTGGTAAGAACTCCCTGTATCAGGAAGATGCCATTTGGAACAGCTGAACAGATTCTACAGGACCCTAAGTTGAATGTCCACAGGGAAAAATATCATCTAACCTGGGCAATATAAAAGAGTAAGCAGTGAAGGGTGGCTGTTTAAACATGGTAAACTGACTACACATACTTACTTCCTCTCCCTCTCCCCAAACCCTTCAAAATTAACAATCATACCCTCCCAAATAGTATGCTGCAAATGGGTTGCAGGTAGGCAGAGGAATTGATACATTTAGTCCTCTTGGTGCTGGTGTGGGGGCCAAGGTAGCAAGTAAGGTCAGACCAGTTGCCCTTGGCCTTGAATAGCCTCATTCATTTACACTGGTGTTCCCTACAAAGGCTGTATATTTTTTGTCTCATATGATTTTGAAGATGATTGGGAAGTACTTCTTTAAAATGAAATGCATTCATCCATAAGGATAAGAAACAGAGAAGAGACATCATCAACTGAGCAATTTCAACAATTTTTTTGAAAGCTGTGAAGTGGGTCCAAAAGTCATAACTGACTTAACAAATTGGAGTGACTCCTAATACAAGCAAATCAATTCACTCGGCCCCAGGAGACCTGGAACTTGAAGGTTTCACATATCTTCTATTGCAGGGAAAAGGCACAGGGCTTAACACAAGGGGCTGGTGACAGTCTGGATCCAGAGCTCCATTTTTCCTTGGCTCTCCCCACAGAGTCAGGACAAGGATTTCTTTTCTGGCAAAATTGAGGTAGAGAGACTCAGAGGTGAGATGGTGTCTGTAAATGGGTTTCTTAAAATTTTAGTGGCATGGGGGACCTTCAGGCCCTTTCTCCTATTCTTTTCCCAGAATGTGATCCACCAGGCAAATATTTCCTGGGTTGGTGTTTGGAGGATTCTTCTCTGGAGAAATAAGAGAAAAACCCTGCACATTCTGATATGAAGCCCAGTAATCAACAAGCCTTGCTCAAGTGAATCCAGAGCTGACAGGCAGTTTTTTAGCACCTTACTACTAAATGCCAATGTATAGCCAAGACTGAAAATAATTTTTGGTAATTTTTAATTTCCAGGGGACTCTTCTAATACATTCCGCTAATGCAACTGTTATTGAAGCTATTAAGAGTACTTAATGGATGTTGACAACATCGGGATACATTTATGATAAATTATTTTGAAATAAAAATTTTAGCATATTTGGAGTTGATGATGCTTGCAGAACAATTTTTCTAAAAATATTTAGCTTTTCATACAAATCCACTTGGGGTAAATCTGAATTGAATTGTAAATTTAGCTTTATATGATGGTATTTCCATGTTTCCTCTGACATTTCCTGTACTTTGTGGAGGTCTTACGAGAAACTAAAGGTGGTTTAATGACTTTCATGTAATTCAAAACACTTGTTATGCAATTCCATGGAGATTTCCCTATTCCAGTGCAAAAAGGGAGGCTGGTTTCAGCTCCTTAGTCCACAGCCCACTACATACATTGACAAAACCAAAATACCTTTTTATTTTAATTATAAGGATTTTGTAGAAAGCATCATATCTTTCATTTTGGGGATAAATTGATTTCCTGGGGTTTTTTTTTTTTTAGCTTAGCTGATTGGAGAATGAAGCCAACTAAGGCAAAGTAACCATCATCCTGACTAGTACCATCCTTATCAGAACTATTCATTTTACCGGGAGTAAAGTAAACTGTTCCATGGCCACAGACTGCATTTTGAATGCTTATATTACAAATACAGTCTCCGGGCACCATGCAGAATAGGTAAGAGAACACAGCTCCCCCGACTCAAGCTGTCTTACCAGAAAAGTAATTCAAAGCCACCAGGTGCTTGCCTCTTGTTGGTAAGACAGCTTCGGCAGCCCCAGGCTCTGCAATCTCTCACAGTCAAACCTTGAATCGGGGAGGTCTCAACAAAATCTCATTATATCCCTGCAGCCAGTAGAATGTAATGTGCTGATATTTCCAGATCTGGGCAATTACTTTATCCCCGAAGTTTGGGCACAAGTGCCCACTTAAACCATATCGATCAAGATTTGGAGGTATGGGGTCCCCCAAATACTTGTCCCTAAAAGTGGAAGAAAAGTATATGGGGGATGTAGGTAATGAGTATCTTCCCCAGTGGCGGTGATAATAGAGGTGAACTCTCTTTGAATGAGAAGTCAACTCCTGTTAAGAGGAAGAGCAAAGGCTTTACACAGAGACCATTTGTCCCTACACCCTGTTTGTCATATGTACTGACAAGATCACAATAACTGCCTGCAGTTAATTTTACTCTCATGTTGTTTTGACACATAGCTTGGGCAGAAGCAATTAAGAGCAGTGATCAAGATCTCACAGGGCACGGTCCTACTCCATCAGATGGTAATATTTCAGGTAGAAGAAATCATAATTGTGTTCAATATTTGTATTTAGACTCTTGGGGTAATATTCTAAGGGACTGTTCTCAATCACAATTTGAATTTCTGCTTGCTGAAATCCAGTTCTTGTTTCTCATTGCAGACCTTCATGTTCAATTAAAGAATGGTTCTGGATTTCAGAAAAAATAAGTTTAAAAGTCTTCTTCCAAATAATAAGGCTGTTGAGGAAATCCAAACCTTTCTTTCTGGTCTGCAGTGGTGGTCCACTTTTCATTATCATTTGGGGACAAGTACTCAGAACGAAGAGCTCCAGTTTCTGTTCCTCTCTTCCCATGTCCTCTAATTATAGTGGCTGCTAGGTATCCTGAAGCTAGTGCTTCCCCTACAGATTGCCAAGAGAGAAAGAAAATATACCTTCATTGGATACTGTACTTATAATGGCTCCTAAAACCGAGCAAGAAAACCACAGTGATCTTGGCAAGCAAACAATTGAGAAGTACAGGTGCTGGCAGTGTGCACAGCCCCAAAATCAACACGACTTGGGAGGAGAGGGAGTTGGAGAACAAAGAAAGGTGCTTTTCATTCAGAGAAATTTATTTCTTTTAAATATTTGCAATCTGCTGCCGATAGCACAGGAGGCCACTTGGCATTATTTCCCCACAAAGGGGAGGGCTGGGGGCAATGAGCAGATGCTTGAGTGGCCTGTGGTGTGAGGTGCACCATCCGTCAAGAAGATCAATATTTACTGTTCTTGTATCTTTGTGGTGAAAGTTTGCTCTTCTTAAACAAAAAGCAACAACAAAAAAAAGGTGGGGGTTGTGCTTTAATATATAGAGTATGGATTTGACTGTAGGAAGTAAATCAACTGCTGACAGCAGGAACTACACAGACAGGACTAAGTACCCCCTCCTGTGCCCAGTGACGACACGCTCAGTGTTTGAAGGAGTAAAATGCATCTGGTGCATGACACTGTCCATCTTTTCTCCATGTATTCTTTTTCATTCCAGCTAAATTATACCTTGATGAAGATACAATATGAAGATAATAATGTGTTTTAAAATGTACTTTAATCTATCTCAATTTGACTCAACATGTATCCATAAACCAGCCCATCTTGTGCGGTAAGGACTGTGAGTGGCACTGGGGTGACCAAGGTGGAGAAGGTGGGGGTCACTGCTTTAGCGTTTTGGTGACTCTATTTCCCCAGTTTGTCCATTGTAGATCACAAAGAGAGTCCTGTGAGGTGGGAGGAAGAGACAAATAGATGATGTGGGTCATGACCAGCCTTTTGCAGCATGGAAAAGATTTTGTCTTTTATTGTTTAGATCAAAGCGTGGTCAACATCTTTAATGTGCATACGAACCAGCTGGGAACCTTATTAAGATTCAGATTCTGATTTAGTAGGTCCAGGACAGGTCCAGAGAATCTCCATATCTAATAAGCTTCCATGGACACACTTTGAGTAAGAAGCTACATATTAATTGGATCCTGTGATGCTTGTTAACTCCGAATATTCCTGGGACCCACCCTCAACTTTTTGAATCAAAATCTACATTTTAACATCTTTTCCATGTGTTTTTTATGCAACAGTAAAGTTTAAGACCCATCAGTTAGATGACTGAACACAATTAAGATGATGAGTGCCGTATTTGTTATCATAGTTACTATGCTGGGTTTTAGAAAGACACTGTAAAAAGAGAGTCTCATTTAGGTGAGCCGCAGGCGGGGAGTGGGTGGAGAGGCTGGGGCAGAAGGACTGCGAGGGGGGCACAGGTCGGGAGGACATGGAGAGGGTGGGGTGAGCAGGACTTGGTTAGGAGTAGATCTGGGGCAGAGGGAGCAGGAGATGGCCAGAATGCCTGTCCGGGGTTGGAGGTCTGGATTGCTGGTTGTGTCCACATGAAGATGGGGAAACCATACGCTGTGAGTTTCAGACTGTGGGCTTTGGAGCAGGAAAGAGTGGATTTGGGATGTGCCTTCAACATCATTTGCTTATATGGCCTTGATAAGTTAACTTTTTATCAGTAAAATGGGGATAATGGTTGTTGCTAGGTAGCATTAGCCCCACTTTACAAAGGCGAAATAGAAATGCAGAGTGAGACAGTTGTCCTGGCTCCGGCAGAGAGCAGTGGGGAGGAGGGGTTGACACCGGCCTCCGGGAGTCCACAGCCCCTGCCCTGAACCCTTCTCTCCAAGGTTTGTCCAGGGAGAGACACTCCCCAGGTGGGCAGATTCCCTCACCTCACTTTCCTCAAGGTCTCCGACTATCTTACTGCTCCTGAGGTATTCCCCCCCCCCCTTAAAATTGTAGAAAGCCACTTCCTCTCTTTTCCTTAGTTCATCTAAGATGATTTTCAAACAGACTTCACTTAAGATGAAGCAAACAGAGAAATAATGCTGGTAGGAGAAAAGACATATGAAGTACAGTTTTCTGACGCTTCCTCAGTTATCCAGCTGCACCCTGTCACTGTGCTGCTGGCCAGGGTCACTCAGTGCCCAGATCTCTTCCCACCTTTTAGCAGATGTGTCCTCTTCGGTGTCATCCCTGCAAGTCTGTCCTGCCTCCTTGGCCAGTGGTTGTGCCAAGGGAGAGTTCCTAGTCTCTCCCCTCCTAAGGCCCTCCCGCTGGGCTTAAAGTTTCTGGAGGGAGGTACAAACTTTTTCCTCAAGGAATGGGTGCAGCTGGGTGAATCGTATGGCTGTGGGGGAGGACTGGATGAAAAGTTCACCCTATTGCTCATGAGGGGGGTGGTTTGGTCTCTTGTAGACCCAGAAGATTAACACCATCCTAACCACATAATATCCCAACAATGCTATATATATAATAACATCCCATATCCAACCAATAAATGTGACACCCCAGCACTAATGGGCAACAGTTGGTGCTGAATACATATTTGCTGAATTGTTTATAATTAAAACCTAATCAGATTGTCCTTACTTATGATCTTATTCATACTAATTATCCAACATCTCTTTCTCCTCTTTATTTTTGAGTTTTTCAAGATGATAAAGCCTGACTTGAAGACCCCACCTCCCCAGTCATCTGGCCCCCTTCTCAGTGCCCTGTGTCTCCTTCCTCTGACACACCAGCTATGCTTAGAATGACTCTGGCCCAAGAAACGACATGGCTGTGTCCTCTCTGCTTTTGAGTCTTTGCTTGAATGTCACCTTGTCCAGGAAGGCATCTCTTATTTCTGTATATAAATTAATACACTGTCCTCACCATTTTTCCTTTCTCCTTACCTTATCTTCTTTTTCTTCTTAGAAATAGAAAAATTGCCATCTGAAATATTATAGATATATTTATTTGTCACCTCCACTAGATTATAAATTTCATAAGGACAGAGACTTCATCTATTGTATCTCTACTTTCTAGAACAATGTCTGGCATGTAGTGTAACTCAATAAGAATTTCTTGAACTGATAATTACATTATGTGGCCACTTTAATGAAACATATGGGAAGGATGTGCATATGTAAGTGACTGGAGTCAGTTTCACTTGTTTTCAGGACTATTTTATTTAAAGAATAAAGGAAACAAAAACTTTAAAAATATCACTCATTTAAGGAAGAAAGAATGGCAGGTGGCGTGGATTATTTTTGGAGCCATAAATTTTATCTTGTGTGTTTTCCCCTCTGCCTATATCCCAGCCCTCATCGTGAAAGAACAGCCTTGCCCTGCTCCCAGTTCACTGCTCACATGAAGAATTTCTCTGAATTTCTTAAACTTGGCAGTCTACATTTTCTGCATTTCCCAGGTCAATTAAAAAATAATCCCTAGAAAGATCAGAGTTTCTAAGGAAATTCTGGTATAGGTACAGGTAAAAAGCACAACAATTTTATTGAAGAACACTTGGGTTGTGTTTCAAAACAACCACAAAACATTACGATTATCATGTATAATGTGGGGGGGAGCATGGGGAGGGCTGTGCAACACAGTGAAGACAAGTAATGATTCTACAGCATCTTACTACGTTGATGGACAGTGACTGTAATGGGGTGTGTGTAGGAGGGTACTTGGTGACAGGGGGAGCCTAGTGAACATGGTGTTCTTCATGTAATTATAGATTAATGATAATAACAACAACAACAACAACAAACAGCCACAAAAGAGAGAATTCACTGGCGTATGAGGTTGGTAGATCCATGGAGTAGACTGGCTCATAGAATGGCTGGATCTAATGTTCACTGATATTATCATGATTTTCTCTTTTCCTTCTTTTATTTATTTTTTTCGAAATCACTATGTTGACTTAATTCTCATTTTGAGTTTATTTTCAGAATGGATAGTGATAATGGGTCCTGGCAGCTACAGGCTTTTATGATTTTTAGAGCTTGTAATTTAAAAAGCAAAGAGACACTCTTTTGCTTTGCATCCATAACAGTTCCCACCTCCTATCCAATGACCAATTGGCCAAACTTGAGTCTCATGTTCATTCCTGGAATAATCAGGGTGTCTGGGGGAAATAGAGCATGCCAGTCAACGTTTGCTAACCCTGCATTTAACTGAGAGCTGTAATTAAATTTCACAAAATATTTGTGTGTGTGTGTGTGTGTGTGTGTGTATGTGTGTGTGTGGTGTTGGGGGAATGAGAAGGATGATTTCCCAAAATAAATTGATATTGGGCCAGCAAAAGGTATCACATTTTGTGTGTGTGTGTGTCAAGCCAAAATGATGTGTAGTTGCATTAATTATATTCTGTATGATGTTAACGCCATAAACTATTATGACAACCTTGGACCATTTCACTGACCTGAAAGGGTAAATGAATTTACAATCGAGTTTCCTACCTAAGAGAAAATAAAGTTTAGAACAATTGATAAAGCAGATAAATGCTACACTTTCATTTTGTTTTAGAATGCATTTATTTACTTGTGTATATATCTACACACACACACACACACACACACACACACACACACACATATATATATATAAATAAAGTTTATTGCATATGTGTATTTATCAGGGCTGTTGAAAAATTTTATTGATTTTATGATAGTTTCAAAGCCTTGGAGTAATGCAATTTTAGTAGGGTCTTTTGAGAGTCACATTTTGGTACCCACCCAAGCTCTTCTTTCTTTACAAAAATTAGGAAACTGAAAGAGGGTTATACATTCACATGGTTCAAAAACCAAAAACAGTAAGTGGTATACAGTGGAACATCTTGCTCCCGCCCTGCTCCAATTGGCGTCATTTTCAACCCGCTGGCAGGAAGCCATTTTTTCTGTTTTTGGGGGAATGGTTCCACATATTCTGTAAGCAAATAAAAGTGTATATATGAGCAGATGTAAGGGTGCAGGTAAGCAGCTGCGTTCAGCACTTTGCTGTCATCACTTAACACTATAACTCGGAGCTGTGTCTACAGCAGCACATCGACAGATTCCTCATTCATTTTTCTTACAACTTCAGAGTGATATTTTTATGGATACACCTTGATTGACTTAGCCGGTTTCTTTCAGTAGACACTAGTGATTCTCTAAGAAGAACCAATGACATCATTAGGGCTTGATATTTTAGAGCTTGGATGGCATGTATTAAAAATAATTATAAAAATTTTGACCCAGTCCACTTTTGTCAGTTTTATAGGAAGAGTAATTCAGGCTTAGTTCCAGCCAGCTGATGTAATTCCATACAAGTAAATGTCAACCTCTTAAGTCTTTCCAAAATACACTGGAGGAACAGAGAAAATAATTGCTACTATCAGTATCTGAAAAATGTGTGGTTTCAAGATTCAGTAGACCCATATCTTAAGAGCTGAGAGTATGGGTACACCACATAGAAACAGCATGGTTCATAATTGTGTGGCATGCTCTGATGGCTCTAAATTACTTGCCATGTCAATATTTGTCTTAAATTTGGGGACATGAAGCCTTAGGCATATGCTGATGGGCAGGGATATGAAGAAAGCCAGGGCTCTCCACCGATGGGGGCTCACTCGGCCATAGGTAGGACAGGTGAGCAGCAGCATTTTGCTGCTGGGAGCCATAGCTGGATAGGAGGAAAGCCTGTCACTAGCAAGAAGGAGGACGTTTGGGGTTAGGGGCAGAGAAGAGCCAAGCTAGTTTGGCTTGGTTGCTAGACAATGGGCAACCCTTACTTTTCTTCTTTTT